GTGCGTGTGTGTGTGTGTCATGGGACATAGCATAGATGATGGAGGCAGGGTTTAGCAATACAGTTCAACCCTCAGTGGACGGATTTGTAGGTTTTGATCTCAGCTAATTAATGTGAAACCCTCAATGGGAAGTAATGGGTATCTGACTGGGAAGTTTGAAGGGGAATGTGTGTGTTTGTGTGTGTGTGTGTGTGTGTGTTTTCATGCATATGTCTGTGTGCATGCATGCCTACAAACGCAATGTATAAGCTTGTACAAGTGTAGAGCATGTGAAGGCATCCAAGTTAATGCGTTAGTGTGTATGTGTGTGTGTGTGGGTGAGTGTTAATCAACGACTCAGAAATCTTCCTCTCCATAAACTCTCTGAGGACTCACTCTGGAGGTAGCAAGGGGCGTTCAAACCATTGTTCCATCAATCCACCCATTAACTACAAACACTGGGAAACTTTAATTAAGCTGGGGCCACAGACGTTTAATTAACTTTAAGACTTTCCTTCTTTTTTCTTTCCTTCTACACATTTCACTAAGTCACCGAGCCATAGAAAGTGTTAATTTAGCCACATAATTTACAAATCCAATTAAAGCCAATATTAAGGCATCACAAGCTGCTGCCCTGTGTTCTCTAGTCTTATAAGACTATTCTCTTTTGTGGCTGTGAATGTGACAGTGAATGCCAGCACACGTAAGCTGAGCAGAATGTATTAAACAGGGGTTAAGAGTTTTAATAAGTTTGATTATTTTATGGAGGTTTTTTTCATGCTGTGTTATCCTGTTAGAGAGGTGATGTTGTAGCAGTGCATTGGTAATCCGGACTATCTCACAGAGCGGTCTCCCACTTTGCCGCCATGGTCGTCGCACGCCGCTGTTTGGGAAGCGAAGGCCCAACCTGTTGTGAGATGGATGAGAATACGGTTGAGGAGGGAACCTGTCATTTACAGTTTACTTAAGTCTTCAGGAATATACTTCACTGCACTGTGACAGTCATGGGAAGCCAAATCAAGCTTAATTTGCATACACATCATTTCAATGGGCTGTTTTCAACAGATTGAGTAGAGGAAGCCCCGCCCACCTGAGACTCGTTCCTAACCCAGCTCAAATTGAAGGCCGCCATTTTTCTTCACACGAACTGTAAGTCTCTCCTAGCTATTCAACCAATATTTTGACGTCTTAGTGTAAACACTATTTTAGTATAACTTAATATTATTTTTCTCTTCACATTTTAGTTGGTTTTGTTTCTGAAACTAGTAATTTCCAGACAGGTAATGTGACCAACTGCATGGCTAGCTCAAATGTGTTAACTCAACATTAGTTAACTAGCTACCTAATGTTTGCCATCATATAGGCCCTGTGGTTTGGTGTCTGTGGAGCTCTGTTATGTCATCTCACGTTGCTTGTATTCACATATATCAAAGTGTTGATTTCCAAACCTGAGAAATGCAGTTATCTTTCATTTATGATTCATATTTCATCAAGTCTACACCTCTGATTTCATGTATGACATGTATTTTGCAGTTGAAACCGAGCTAATTTGTCTTTCACGTTCCCCATTTTGAAAGAGGGAAGCGGCCCCTGCAGTGGCGGGGTCCCTCTGCTGCTAAATGAATGTAGGCCACTCACTCCTCTGTTCCCACATCTTCCCAAAGTTTCTTCTTCTCCTCCCTGACGTTGCTCTCGCTGCTCGCTCTCAGCGTGACCAATAACAGCCCCGAGGAGGCATCGCCATAATTCCCTGTAAATGACAACTAATGAAGATGGTATTTCCCCTCATTACTTTGTGTCTTTGAGGGGGGCAGGGCTGTCAGCAAGCAAGTGTCGCTTTTATTTTACTCTCTGCTATCCACTCATGGTTGGAAAACTAAGTCTTCCTCCTTTCTTTTCCCTCCCTCTCCTCAGCACCTTCAACGGTCAGGGATGAGAGCTCTCCTCTCGTGGCAGTATCAAGCACACGCTCAATTAGCATTGCTTCGTAGGTGAGAGCCATTTTGAAAACATTTCTCATTACACCTTATCACTGGGGCACAGAGGGGGGCAACATGAAGCAAATTAGTGGGGTGAATGAGAGACGGCAAGTGAAGGAAGGAAGGAGGGAGGGCTGGAGACATCAAAGCGTTCCCGCTCTATTTAAATTGAGTGATCTTGTGTGAAAGATCCCCACTACATAAAGATTAACCCCATCCTCCCTCCCACACACATACACACACAGACACACACAGCTAATATCACACACCCACATACCCTTGGATTTATGTGTCAAGGGTTAATAACTATGAGGATAAGGACACTGGGGGGGTTCATGTGGGGTGTTCCTGCAAATGCACACGTGTGTGTCAGCACATATATTTAGAATGTGC